GACGCGTCTCAGCAATTACCCGACACGAAATCAGAGACACTCGTACAAAGGGCGTCTCCCGTCACAGCTACGGTACAATCCGTATCGCCGAAAACGCGCTCGCCTGCGAATATTCTCCTCGCTACTGCGTGGGTAATCGTGCGGACACAAGAAGGACGTACTACACTGGTGTGTGCCCTTCTGGATCAGGGATCCACATACAGCTTCATAAGCGAATCTTTATGTCAAACGTTGCGAACCAGGCGTCAACGCGCTAATCTGCAGATTCGATGCTTCGGGGAAAAATACAGCGGGTCGGCTTGCTCGCGGGTTCACATATCTCTCTCTCCAAGTTTCAATCCGCGAAAATCCGTCTCGTTATGGGCATACGCCTATGAAAAAATCACTTCATACGCTTCCTCTCAGATCCGGGAAATAAATTCATGGCCACATTTGCGCGGATTGCAACTTGCAGATCCTGATCCGTCGAGCGCCCACTAAATTCATTTACTAATCGGGGCCGATTTATACGGTGCTCTGCTAATCGGTGACATTCGTCATGGCCCGCCTGGACCCCGCGACAGCGCAGTCCACTCTGTTCGGCTGGATACTCTCCGGACCAACAGGCCCCACGGATGCAACTCATCCTCCGGCTGACGTTCACAATTGCGTCGTTGAAGACGACCTCGCTCCCGTCATCCAACAATTCTGGACAGACGAGACAATTTCTGATTCCAAGCCTCCGCTAACGGAGGACGAACAACGTTGTGAGCAACATTTTGCTGCAACTCACAAGCGCGACGTACATGGCCGCTACGTGGTACGATTGCCGTTTAAGAATGGCTCACCGCCGAGTATAGGTGAATCATTTCAAATCACTTCAGTGCTTCACGCCAAATTAACAAATCGGCTGTCACGACAGTCTGAAATTAGAACGCTCTATCATGCGTTTTTAGCAGATTACGAGGAGCTGGGTCACATGACCCAGATCAAACCCTCCACTTTAATCTTTCGGACGCGCTTACATACCGCATCATGCTGTCCTTCGCGAACACAGTACCACCACGAAACTACGCGTGGTGTTCAATGCTTCCTGCCGTACATCAAACGGCACTTCATTAAACAACCATCTTATGATCGGTCCAAAA